ATTCTTGTTCTTCTTCTTGTTCTTATTCTTGTTCTTTCTTGTTCTTCTTCTTGTTCTTATTCTTGTTCTTCTTCTTGTTCTTATTCTTGTTCTTATTCTTGTTCTTATTCTTGTTCTTATTCTTGTTCTTATTCTTGTTCTTATTCTTGTTCTTCTTCTTGTTCTTCTTCTTGTTCTTATTCTTGTTCTTATTCTTGTTCTTATTCTTGTTCTTATTCTTGTTCTTATTCTTGTTCTTATTCTTGTTCCTCTTCTTGTTCTTCTTCTTGTTCTTCTTCTTGTTCTTATTCTTGTTCTTCTTCTTGTTCTTATTCTTGTTCTTATTCTTGTTCTTATTCTTGTTCTTATTCTTGTTCTTCTTCTTGTTCTTATTCTTGTTCTTATTCTTGTTCTTATTCTTGTTCTTATTCTTGTTCTTCTTCTTGTTCTTATTCTTGTTCTTCTTCTTGTTCTTCTTCTTGTTCTTATTCTTGTTCTTATTCTTGTTCTTCTTCTTGTTCTTATTCTTGTTCTTCTTCTTGTTCTTATTCTTGTTCTTATTCTTGTTCTTCTTCTTGTTCTTATTCTTGTTCTTATTCTTGTTCTTATTCTTGTTCTTATTCTTGTTCTTATTCTTGTTCTTATTCTTGTTCTTATTCTTGTTCTTATTCTTGTTCTTATTCTTGTTCTTATTCTTGTTCCTCTTCTTGTTCTTCTTCTTGTTCTTATTCTTGTTCTTATTCCTCTTCGAAGGAGAGGGGATTCGAGGCAGCTGAGAGACACTCCGAGGCAGAGAGGAGACGCATCTCCGACCGATGTATTGAACAGCAGATGTGCCTCCACACTCCACAGTGCGTACGGCCAGAGCAAGAAGACGTTCACACCGTGAGAGCAGCAGCAGCAGTAGCAGCAGAAGAGAGAGACAATGGCAGTTATGACATAAATGCTCCGGTGTGCTGGCCATTGGGTGTCAACGCGTACTCGTTCATGTGCTCGGCGATCCGTGGCAGCGATTTCCTCCCTATAATTAGTCATTCTGAGCCACACTTTGTCAACAACCCTATCGCGCGACCCGTGGCTGCAACATGAGTCGGGTACAGTGCTTCTTCTTCTTAAGAGTGCTGAATATACTCCCGTGAGGGTACTGCGCGGGGCGTGAAGGGGTGTACCGTTACCCTGTTAGCATTGGGCAGAGCAAATAAGGTCACAATCAAGCGTAGCCGACACACTCTCTGCCCCCCACCCACCCACCACTCCCCCCCACCTTGATTGCACGAGGATGTTAACTGACCTTAAAGAGGAAACTCTAGACGGGAGAGAGGCTATTGGTTGGCCAAGAGGGATGCGTCTTTGTATAGTCACGCAATGACGCATGGGTACAACGAATGTTTATAGCGTAGGTGAACAAACAATATAGAAGAAAAAAAAATACTCCCGTGTGTGCATTCACATCGCAGCGTTTCCCTTTAGCAGTCGACTGACCAGAAAGTCCACATTATTTGCCCCGCCCGCAATAATAGTCATCGGATTTCACAGCGCGCTCGCGTTTCATCATCATCGAGAGTTTTGAGTCATCGGCACGGCCCCGCGTGGTTTTGGGGACATTCTGTAACGTGCGCCCCAATGTGCCCCCTGCGTGACGCGCAAGCGGGCGTGTCGGGGCGAGTGAGCGCATGGGCTGATCGACTTTAGCGCCGTCCATAAATGACGTCACGCACCTAGGGGGGGGGGGGTCAGACATTTGTGACGATGTGTGACGAGGGCGAGGGGGGGAGTGAGAAATGTAACGTCACGTCAAAATGCGCAACTTTAAATAAATATAGACAACATTTTATTTTATTTCTATTATTACTTTTAGTAATTTTAAATTTTTTTACCTACGTGACTTTACCGAAAAAACCTAAGAATATGAATACTTGCAGTCACGAAAGCTTCAAATCTATAAAAAAAAATATATAGACAACACGTTCTACTTAATAAAATATATATTTTTGCTAAATTTTTTCCCCTACAACATCAGAGTGCAGCGCCACATTAAATACGCACTACAATGACAATAGCTTAAAGCGATTTGAAGCATGTTATATTTTTTTTGGGGGGGGGGTGGCAGAGCTTTGTGACGTCATATTTCAGGGGGGTCTGACTTTTGTGACGTCGTGTGACAAAATGGGGGGGGGGGGGTAAAAAAATCGTCCAAAATCGCGTGACGTCATTTATGGACGGCCCCCTTACGGGAGCATGACGTGCGAGTGGGCGTCTTCATTGTGAACGAGCAGCAGCGGCGGCCATCGTGCTCGATTGGCTGATGGGTGATTACAGCAACTTCTGTTGGGGGTGGGTTTTTTTGTTATTTTCTCGTAGGCAAATGAGGCCGATAGCTGGGGATAGTCGTAAGCCAAGTTACGACGTTTCGCTGGGCCCGCAGCCCACGATGTCGAGACTCTCATGGCCCCCTCTGGCTAAGGCTGCCTTTATACTGGTAGGAACCACCTGGTTCCACCAGCCCACAGGGGATTATTGTGTCCGTCCGTCCGTCGTGCATCCAAAAATGGGAGGGGTGGGGTTGGGTGGAGAGGGGAGGGTGGGGAGGGGCTGGGTGGGGAGGGTGGGGAGGGGCTGGGTGGGGAGGGTGGGGCTGGGTGGGGGGTGGGAGGGGTGGGGCTGGGTGGAGAGGGGCTGGTCACCCCGTGGTGCCCTTATAAAACTCAACGTTTAACCTACTCACGCTGGCTTGTGCCCGCCCTCACAGTCGGGCATATTTGCGGAATAAACCACGCCGCCGTTGACCCTGGCCATTGACCGAGCAACCCAACGTTCCTACCAGCTCCCTCCGCAGGAATGTGTTGAAGTCTCTTCATGGAACTCCCGTTCCGCCAGATGCCCGTGCTGTCGACTCCATGCCCTCCGTGTAAAAGTCCAAGCTCAACGCCACGCAATCTCCCCGTCCCGTCTGCCTGAGACTCACCGTTTCTGACTCGTAAATATGCTCACTCTTTATATTTAGGTGCAGGGTCGACAGATGATGTCGCATTTAGCCGCCACGTAAATACGTGTTTTTTATTTCTTTACATCTGCCATCTTTCTCTCCTCGAGCATGCTGTCCCTTTGAGTCGGCACGGCAGTCACACTCAGATGCGTTGTACATCTACGCTGTTCACACGTGGCTTCGCGAAGTAACGTTTCGAGTGCGAATTTGACACTTTTGTGCGGTGGTCAAATTGCTATTCCGCCCGGCATCGAATTATATAGGCCACACTTATTCGATGTTAACAGTTGACATCAAGTACCGACTGCTATTTGAATGATTTACCCAGGAATGGCTCACTGAGTCTCCAGGCTAATTTTCAGAAGGGCCCTGCTAACATTGGGATTTGTTTGCTTTTGTTTAATGTCAGGTAGGTAGAAATAAAAATAAAAAATAAAAATAATAATAGAAATAAATATTCTATTTTTATTATTATTTCAATAAATTTTATTATTTATCTTTATTTTTACCTACGTGACTTTACCGAAAAAACCTAAGAGTACGAATCCTTGCAGTCACGAAAGCTTCAAATCTAAAATTGCTGTTGTTTGTTACCCAATTCCCATAATGGGTGCTTTGACTTCTCTTGGGAGGAAGAAGGAGTGCTCGGAGAGATGTGACGAAGGAAATTGGGTCACTTGCCCGTTGGAATGCTGGGCCTCTCGTCGCGGAGAATTCCACATTCATCACTGACCACCAATCGAAAGCAGCGCCGCCGTGAACAGGGTAGTCCAGATGTCTTGTGACCCCCCCCCCCCCCCCATGTCATGCTCTAAAACGTAATACTGTATGTTTGAATGTAAGGTGTATTTTAAAACAGACATGAATCTGCAAAAGGGGAAAAAACACATTTTAGGGGTCAATTAATTGGAGGTCACAAGGCATCTGGGTCACCCTGTTACATGGGCACATCTCCCAAATAGTTACTAAACGCACGTGCTTTACACTCAGAGAGCAGCCTCTGTTGTTTATGATCATGTTTTACCGCATTCCATTTTGCCTGCGTTTCCACCCCCCGAGTCTCCCTTTCAAAGAAGACCTCTGTCGCACGAGTCCCCCGTCTGGTTTGGAGCTACGTCAATGAATCAGGTTAATTAGAACAGTGTCGTAATTGGGTCATTGTTCGAGTTAAGCCCTGTTGAGTAATTGATCCAGTTCATGTGTTTGAATCATCGCCATTGTCGTAATAGCCTGTTTTTTATAATCATCTCGGAGAATTAGATGATGTATCTTTCAGACCGCGACATCTGGGTTAATAACCAAAAAAACATGAAAGGCATAAAAAAATATGCACAGAGCCACCTCCCTTGTGTCGTGACCTTGCTGCGATGGGGGTGGGAGGGGAGTGAGGCAGTGAAAGTAAAAGCAAACTTTAAACAAACTTTAAACGCCAAACAGAACGAGTATCGATTCCATCTGCCGTTGTTGTCTGTCATGAATTCTGACGGAGCACTTATATGCAGCCGCATATATTGAACTCACATTTTACTGGTAGGAACCTCCTGGTTACACCAGCCCACAGGGGATTATTGTGTCCGTCGTGCAGGGAGGGGCTGGGTGGGGAGGGAGGGGCTGGGTGGGGAGGGGAGGGTGGGGAGGGGCTGGGTGGGGAGGGGCTGGGTGGGGAGGGAGGGGCTCGGTGGGGAGGGGAGGGTGGGGAGGGGCAGGGTGGGGTTGGTGGGGCTGGGTGGGGAGGGGAGGGTGGGGAGGGGCTGGGGAGGGTGGGGAGGGGCTGGGTGGGGAAGGTGGGGCTAGGTGGGGGGTGGGAGGGGTGGGGCTGGGTGGGGAGGGGCTGGTCACCCCGTGGTGCCCTCATAAAACTCAACGTTTAATCTACTCACGCCGGCTTGTGCCCGCCCTCACAGTCGGGCATATTTGCGGAATACACCACGCAGCCGTTGACCCTGGCCATTGACCGAGCAACCCAACGTTCCTACCAGCTCTCTCCGCAGGAATGTGTTTTGTTTAAACGTAACTTTCAGGGTGGAGGGAGGGGATGGCTCAGCCTGACCCAATCCTCTCCCACCTCTCCCCTACTCCCCCAAGCTACGGGCGCTCCTATAGCAAGGTAAACAACACAGGAACACAATAACTTACATAATGAGTGCAATTTTATGAGAGGAAAAAGCTGCGCGAACGAATGCGCACGTGGATGTTGCATGCCTGCATATGTCCATTTGTGTTGTGTTTAGTTGGTTGTCCTTCCCACGGTTGACTACGTACGGTGCGAAAGAAGTTCAACATACATACTAGAATGTTAGTCACCCTACAGAGTGATCCACATGGGAAGATGTTCCACTAAAGTAATGGGGAAGGAATTATACAGAATATATTCGCTCGCTTCCCACCAATATCGAGATGTATTCAATGGCTTAGCACTCTTCATCTGTAACCTCCGATTAGCACTGTTGGCTCCGAACGGTGCGAAAGAAATTCAACATGCACACGTACACAATAGACAAGGGGAGACATCTCTTTACAAATGTTCAATCGCCCGTTGAGTAGAAAGTAATGGGGTCATGCGACATTAGCGGAGCGTCTAAAAATGGATCACCCTGCATGCACTGTGATACTCGATGGACAGCAGAAAATTAATTGTATAAGCAGCGCTCAATTCTGTCCGTGCACATTTTGTGTTTTTAAATCCGTCAACCTATTGGCTTTCGAGTCAAATACGGTATCATCGTGCATCATTGATGATTTCAGCAAGCAAACTCTGGATGGGTTTTGATCTGCTGGGTGTCATCAACAAGCAAGCCCAGGTTCGTAACATCTGGGTAATGAGGCAGCAAATTTTGTTTAAGCCAGCAAACACTCTGGACCGGTTTTCGACCTTCTTCCTGGCTCTCATTAGCAGAGTCGGGCTTGTTAAACGCATGCCGCGGGATTAGCAGATGTACAACCCAGCTGGGATGTTTGAGCACGCTCACAGCTTAGGAGGGGAAGAGGAGGAGCGACACGTGCGACGCCTTTCGGAGTGAGCGCGCTATTCCGCGCGGACACGTGGTGGCGTAGCATCATGTGTACCCGGGGGGCCCCCACCATGCTTGCTTTTAGATCGCAGTCCGCGTGCTGGCGATTTACAAACGCACACAGACAGACACCACACACACACACGATGTTCTTGCTCGGAGACAGAGAGAGCGAGAGAGAGCCCTAATGAAATTAAAACTGCAACCAGGCATAGACTCAGAACCGGTCAGAAAAATAATTAATAATGATGATAATAATAATGATGTACGACAGTGTTGGAAAGTCATGTTTATATTTGTGTGTTTGTGTGTGTGTGTGGTTGAGCGGTAGCGTAACGGTTAGCGTGAAACTGGCGACCCGAGTTCGATTTCTGCTCACGGCCAACGCCAGTGACGATTATATGAACCGGTCCTGGGCCTCCCCTAGGTCGACTTAGCCACAAATGAGTACCTGGGTGCGGCGTGTAAACATCGCCACCGGAGAGAGAAAGGCGGCCAGGCGTGGTGCTGGCCACCCACCCCCTCGTGAGCCGTTCCGGCATTCATAGGTGCTCGCTAACATTACTTACCCCAACAGTCTGTTAAGGATATACGGGGGATCTTTGTATTAAATGTCTGTGAAACGCAACGAATATCGTTTGTTTTACTCCGACTATAATAAAAGTATGTTCTTTAGTCCCGCTCAGACACAGAGCTTCTGCAGTGTGGAACGATCTCATAGACGCAGAAATAAACAGAATTCAACCTGTCTCAAATTATATTTTTGAAATCTGCACCATTTAATTAGTTTGTTTAATTACGTATGCGTTACGACCGGGTTGTGATATTCGTTGCGTAAATGCACGGAGTATTGCACGTATAGGTCATATATTTCTAATGTGTGTATGCGTGGTCATTGCGTATTTGCGATGTGTACGTGTCATTTGACACTCCAGACAGCATTGCAAAACAGATGTTCCATCCAAAGGAATTTTCCACGTGAAGTATTTACGTTTAGGATAAATACTGTATGTGTTGTGTGTACGACACCGACATACAGGAGGGTGAAATGAGGAGGTATGTTTTTGCCAAGCATGGGTTTGTATCAAAGGACTGCCGAACCTGTCGGCAAGTTCTGTGGGACTCTACTCAGTGGGCCAATTCAGTTTCAGATTCAGTTTATTTATTAGGTATAGCCCTGTGAGCCATGCGGCTCTTGAATCGGGTGCAACCGCAACAAACACGAACATGAACAAGACACATTTTAAAGTGACTACGCACAACAGAAAAATCCAGGAAAAAACAGCAAAGTCTTCCAGAAAGAGACCCGTATATCGACGCTGTGTGCGAAACTCCCAGTGGGATGCAAGTCAAACAATAACAACCATATGACAATTTAGATTAAAGTTATCAGTCTAACTCTGTACTACAACAAACAAATGTGGCTAAACCAAAACGTTTTCGAAATCACTAAAATAAAGCTATAAAAACAATGTAACAGTGATCATAGCAACTGTGATTCTAATTTAACAATAAACGATATACATAACATGTTCTAACTACTACCACTACCATCATCGGTACTACCAAGTGTAACGCGAGAAATGTCAAAGCTCCGTGTGTCCGTTAGTATCGATTCAAAAACAACAACAGCACAATAGACGCAGGCTATGGCGAAATCTCGCTGAATGAGGCCGATTTCGTGAGATTTGCGAAGCGTGGCAGTCTGTCTGGCAATGCCCACGCGTTATTAGGCATGGGTCGCCAATCGTCTCGGACAGGGGTCAGAAAACATGCGGCTCTTCATGGAACTGCAGTTGCGGCTCTTAAAATTCGAAAATAATGGCTCCTCGTGTTATTTTGGTTGCCAACCCCTGACCATACAAATTAAATTTGCCATGGAAGTCCAGTTCACCATGGAAGTCCAGTTCACCATGGAAGTCCAGTTCACCATGGAAGTCCAGTTTACCATGGAAGTCCAGTTTACTATGGAAGTCCAGTTCACCATGGAAGTCCAATTCACCATGGAAGTCCAGTTAACCATGGAAGTCCAGTTCACCATGGAAGTCCAATTCACCATGGAAGTCCAGTTAACCATGGAAGTCCAGTTTACCATGGAAGTCCAGTTTACTATGGAAGTCCAATTCACCATGGAAGTCCAGTTTACCATGGAAGTCCAGTTTACTACGGAAGTCCAGTTCACCATGGAAGTCCAATTCACCATGGAAATCCAGTTTACCGTGGAAGTCCAGTTCGCCATGGAAGTCCAGTTTACCACGGAAGTCCAGTTCACCATGGGAGTCCAGTTCACCATGGAAGTTATTCATACAGTAACACCGTCTCGTATTCACCACGCAGTTGCATTGCGGCTCTTGAAATACTGCGGGGTTTTTACCGAATTAAATAAAAGGCTCTTCTTCTTGTTTCAGTTGCCAACCCCTGGTCTAGGAGGTGACGTTTTTGAGGATGGATTTTTTTAATCTGTGCAGAGATTTAAGTGTAACCCCCCACCGCTCGCCTCTCTCTCTCCACGCTCCCCACCCCCGCCTCTCTCTCTCTCCACGCTACCCACCCCCCACGGCACCACAGTACGCATTGGTGGGGTTTATCTCCGCACGCCACTCATTTGGCCAAACTTTCGAAACGCAGGACTCTCCGGAAAATGAGTCTCGGAAGTTAATGAGGATTTCGTGTGGCTGAAGGGATTATTAAATTATCTGATTAAGATCGTGCGTCTGCATCGCTGTAAACCTATAACACCGTGCCGGGTTTAGTGATGACTGCAGCTGCTGATCGGAACATGCAGTTGTTTTCGTCCAAAGAGCTTCCTGACCGGTGACTCACTAATCGCGTGATTTCCCAAAGGTCGTATCATCAGGTGGGAATGCAAACCGAGCGAATCGGTGGCGCGGAGGAGGGACGACAAACTAAACACACGAAGCAATTCTAAAGACATTCGTTTTCAATCTCCATTTGAATGTGCGTAGCTATCGGACGGCCGCAGAAGCGCATCTGAAAGCGCGCGATGCAGTGACCGTTCTGCGTTCGATGGTCAGCCAAAAGCCGCTGCGAGGAATGATCGGAGCTCGCGTGATGGTTTCTGCTCCTTGAAGAGCTCGGCAAAGGTTCATATTCCTTGGTGCTTTCGGTAAAGTCACGTGGACAGCGCCTTTACCCTAAGAATATGAATTCCTGCAGTCACGAAAGCTTTAAGTCAAGATTGGTGGTTCACTTCCAGCAAGCACTTCGTGTGTTTACCAGCCCCAGGTTTCTTACGAAGAGAACAAAGACAAAGATCCCCCGTGTAGCCTCAACAGACTGTAGGGGCAAGTGCTGTTAGCGAGCACCTATAAAGGCCGGCACTGTGGCACACGAGCGGGTGGGTGGCGAGCACCACGCCCGGCCGCCTTTGTCTCCCTAGCGGCGATGTTTACACACCGCACCCAGGTACTCATTTGAGGCTGAGTCGACTTAGGGGAGCACCAAGACCGGTTCAGATAATCGTCACTGGGTGTTGGCCGTGAGCGAGAATCGAAGTCGGGTTGCCGGGTCCGTAGCGCAGCGTAGCGCTAACCGCTGCGCCACCGCTCCCCACGAAGAGAACGGCCACCTTGAGGCGCCTACCGGCTATCGTACGCCGTGCAGTATCAATGTCACTGGTGGGAATGCCAAACTTCCCTCCCAGTTCGATTCTCCGGCCGCGGTTGACAATAGTTGGCAAGTGGTGTCGGTGCTGGTCTTTGGGCCTTCCCGCTTCACCAATCCGCATTGACCGGCGCGGTGAAGTATGGTCAAATAACCCCTCGTGTGGCCAGCGGATTGGTCGAGGGATGTAAATTACAATGTCAATTTCATCATGGGACCTCCTATGCCAGCAATGTCAATTCTCAACGCAGTGGGTTTATACATGGGCGGCACACGCATTGCATTCATAGCGTTATTGCATTCAATCGGATTTAATGCGACTTCAGTGGTTGCAAAAAACGAGTATAATTGTAAAAGTAAAATAACTTGAATGTACAATTGTTTTTAGGTCGATCATTACGTGTTTAAAAAAATAGTTTTCATATATAGAGTAGTTTATGAAGAAGTATTGCTCTGTATTAACTTTGGAGCTTTCGTGACTGCAGGAATTATTCTTTGGTTCTTTCGGTAAAGTCATACGTGACTTTACCGAAAGAACCAAAGAATATTGCTCTGTAGTAATAACTAAAGTTGCTTGACTTTGTGGAATGTTGCTTGTTGTTGCACTAGAAACTGACTCATCGTCATGATGTCTGAGTAATTCGAATTCCTGTGATTGCTTTAGAAGGGGGGGGGGGGCGCTGTAAACTTGAAATGTGTGCCAAGCGTAGCCGAGTCTTCGGTTCAACTTTGAAAACCCGAAAACTACGACGACATCGAATTTAGCCCATCCAAAAAATCCCCACGTTCGTGCCTGTTGATGTATCTGACTCACTGGGCCACACTAAACACCCGCACTGCTTCAAGTCTAATTTTCGATTTGAAGCTTTCGTGACTGCAGGGATTCATCTTCTTGGTTCTTTCGGTAAAGTCACGTATAATGGAAATCATAAAATAATAAAAATAAAACATAATAAAATAATATAATAATATGAAATAATAGAATATTTTATTATGTTTTATTTTTATTATTTTATTATTTCCATTCTACGTGACTTTACCGAAAGAACCAAGAAGATGCTTCAAGTCTCTTCATGAAAACCTTTCAAAAACGACAAACAAAAAAGATGCCCTCTACAGCCGGCATCGACGGCTCGACAAAGTAATTCGCATGACGCTAAAGCCTAAACAGAAAGCTGACCAAGTCCGCATTACCGGCGAGAACGCAGGATATGCCTCTTATTCTATAAGTGTACACTTATAGAATAAGAGAGAGAGAGGAGGGGGGGGAGGCACTTCTCCACTGCGGCTTTGCCAAGTCACATTGCAGCGCATGTGCGGCAGTGTGAGCGGAAGAAAAAAAACCCACGAAAAGTGTGTCACTAGGACACGCCGAACCAACAGCGCCAATACCCGCCCCTCATGCCCCTTCGCGCTCGCTCGCACGCGCGCGCGTGTGTGCCTGCTCCCCCCCTCCACTCCACTCATCCCCTCCTACCTCCCCCTCCTCTCTCCTCCCCCTCCATCCATCCATCCCTCCCCTCTCTCTCTCCTCTCCCCTCCCCTTCCCCATCCCTCCCACCCTCGGGCCGCGTGAGCTGCGCCAACTGGGAAAGGCGGCAGATATGAGGCCGCGCTGCGCGCCAGGCGAGGGCAGTTATGAACCACGCGATCTGTGAGCGAGGCTCGTCGCAGTCGGCACTGAGAAGTGGAGGAGGAGGAGGAGGGGGGTATCGCTTGACTCACTTCGGCTCTTACCTTACAGCCTAGCCCAGCACACGCACACACACGCTAGCCAGGAAACACCACCAGCACCAATTGTCATTTCACCCACGCGGTTACTGCTGCTTAACGGTAGCAGCACAAGCAGGGCAGTGTTCATTCAGCCCTTTTAAATCGCCTCTGCTCCGCCGAACTGAACATTGTCAACAGAAGGCAAGATCTGCCGGAAGACGGTGTTGACTTCCAGACAGCAGCATCAGCAGCATCATCATCGGCGGCAGTAGCGACGCAACAGCAGAGTTTTCGTGCGAGAGCGGGTTAGTTAGTAGCAGCAGCGCCTGGGAGTAGACGAAGTTACTCCGGAGTTATTTTTCTCCGTGACTTTAAAACAAACAAAAACATTTTATTTTTTTAGTTTACACCACGCTCCGCTTGCCCGACCCACTCGACGGCGCCGAGAGGACCTCAAGAAGCATGGACACGAATCACCCAGGTGAGAGTTTTGTGTGTGCCACACGCGATTTTTATAGCATTTGTACTTATATTCACGTATAAGCTTCGTGAAAGATGATGGGGGCAGAGGCCGGGGCAGGCAGAGGGCTTTATCCAGCAGTGGAATGACCGTAGCCGATGATGATGATGACGGTGATGATATAACTCCCGTACTGATAAGGGATGGGTTGTTTTTGTACCTTACTAACCGCGTAGCGTGAGTTGTTTAAGGACGACCGCTTGCTTCTCCCTCTCGACTTAACAGCAGCCTATAGTTTGGCCGTACGTAAAATACACACAACTCTCGTATTACACACACACACACATAGCCTTGCTGGCGTGCGTTTCATGTACGGGGGATTGTATCTCGGCAAAGCAAGCAAGCAAGCCAGAGGCAGTGTGTGTGTGGGGGGGAGCGAGACGTGATACACACACGCACAGAGACACGCAGCACGAGTTAGCGGCGTAGATAAAAAAAAAATCGTAAACAAGCCGAATGAATGGCGAGGACTGCAAGAGCCGAGGGCTGCTACCCCCCCACCCCCGAGATGCATTGGTTCTCTGGGCCGCACGTGGACCGCACCCCACCAGCCATGTGCCACCCCCCTCCCTCCCCTCCATCCCTCCCTCCATCCCTCCCCGCACAACCCCGCCTCCTCGTCCAGCCGCATTGGATGGGGGGGTCCGGGAACCCATGTTACGTAAAGTGTTGCCGGAGGATCGTTCGTGGCGGCGGTGGCGGTGATGATGATGCGACGTTGGCTTCGTGACTTGGAGGAGGTAGCCGAGGCTAATGGAGTGGCGGGCAGCACCCGACTGAGTTCACACGTGCACGGCCACAACTTACACGCACCTTCGCGTACGGCACGCACATCACACACACCTGCGTAGACGCGGTTAGGTTGGCTACGTACGGTGCGAAAGAAGTTCAACATACGTACGTACCTGTGCACGCAGGTGTCTCCCGTGCACGTATGCCGGTGCATGCGCGTACACATGCGCGCCTAACACAAACCTGTGCCAACGCGCTTACAGTGTTGCGATAGACACGCGTGCACATTCGCGTACGCGTGTAAATGCGCGGTCCGCTTATATACCGCATGCCACGTCGATGTACAACTCTGGCGTGCGTACTTACACTTGTACACACACGCGCGCACCTCTCCCGCATCTGAACGTGCATCTGCACAGTTGGCTTGCACGTACAGTCATCGCATGCACCCTGCACATCACCTTTCCTGCACCTACGCGTACACACGTGCGCGCACACGTGTCGAACACACGCGCGCGCACACGTGTCGAACACACACGTGCGCGTGCACGTGTCGAACACACACGTGCGCGCACACGTGTCGAACACGCGTGCGCTAACACGTGTCGAACACACGTGCGCGTGCACGTGTCGAACACACACGTGCGCGCCCACCTGAGGCCGCGCACCTGGAACGGATACCCCCCCCCCCTTTTCTCCCCCCCCCTCCCCCACAAAGCCCCCACCCTCCCCTCCCCCGTACTCAGCCCCTCCCTTCACCTACCGCTTTACGTTTACCTGTACACAATGTTCTCAAAACTTCCACTTGACCACGTCAACATTCAAACAACATGTTTTGTTAGTGCGATTCCCCCCTCCCTCGGATGACGGTACTGGCTCCCCCTCCCCCCCACCTTTCATCCTCCCACCACCACCACGGCCACCACCACCCCCACCACCACCACGGCCACCACCACCGCCACCACGGCCACTGCCACCACCACCGCCACCACCACCACCACGGCCACTGCCACCACGGCCACCGCCCCCCCTCTTCCTCAGCCCCACCAAGCCCGCTCCCAAGCTCGTAGTGACCGCAATTACGAGACGTCATTAACAGCAGCAAACTTGTTGCGTAAAACATCGCCACCGCGAACCACACGATCACCGAAAGTCTTTTTTTTTTAAAGGGGTTTAGGGAGCGGTGTTTAGATTATAATATCCGAGCTTCAGGGAGGTTGCGATTGTAATTCCACGTGCGTTAATCAGTCACCTTACGTATTGGCGGCCTACGTGTGCGTGCGTGCGGAGTGTGTGTTGCGTTCTTTTCACCATACCCCCCCCCAATCCACACCCCCCCCCCCCACGACACCACCGCTAAAGAGCAAAAAAATGATAGAGAAGAAAAAAAGGGGGCCCTAAAATGCGCTCACACATTGGAAAATTCTGGTCAGGTCGTATGTAGGTCACAGTGTTCCGAGCCGCGCGGCTTACATAACGACCCCCGGAGACATGCCAGTGTAGCTAGGTGGGTGTTGGGTGTGTTGGTGGCAGCCAGACTTTGACGTCTTGGCACCCCTTCTGGAACGAAGTGTTTTTTTTTTGTCCGCGTTTTTCTGGGATAATTTTTTGTTTGTTTGTTTGTTAAAAGATTGTAATAACACAAGTACCGGCGGGCGTTTCTGTTTCTCTCTCTCACTCACTCACACAGACACGGGGGGTGGAGTGGGTGGAATAAACCGGAGCGAACTTTAGCGGGTTTGTTTTTGGAATGGAATGTTTGTGAGCCACAGGAGCAACGTGTACTTTGAACTATTTTAAGGCATTTTTAACTGGGGCGGTTAAAACGAGACCCCCATCAGCCACATAGATTCGGGGGGGGGGGGGGTTGGAATTTATCGCCTCGCATCTCCGGGGAGTGGGGGGGGGAGAGACTTCGTTGAGCACGGAAGTTCTAAAACTTTATATTGCGCTAGTGCTACTGCCATCCAAGGACACGCTATTTGAGAATTGCGTTTTGCGTAAACACATGCCACGTAAGAGAAGAAAAAAAGCCGAGGCACATCGCTGTGGGGTGAACAGCAGCCAGCACATGCTCTCAGGTTCACTCAGAGATTCCTAGCATTGTCCAACGTCTACTGGACGTGTTAGTTGTACCCTAATTCATAGTGAATTTAAAAAAATAATAATTATGATCATCTTTGGGGTGGCTTGATCATACTTCATTATGCATGTCAGTGCGGGTAAGGTTGTTATTTTTTTTTATTTTGGTGAAGGGGGTGAGGCAGATATCACTCAAAACTGATATTAGCCGTGGCCGGAGTCAAACTCATGTGGCTGAGTTTATGATGCAAGTGTTGTCACCAATTCCACGACCCGCTTGTCAACAAATCCTCGAGTGAGCATTTAACAAAATGTGATTCTAGCTACCACGCAAACAGCGTCAGCCTCGCCTGGGCCACCGCTGTGTTTTGTACTCAGCGTAGAGAGAGAGGTGGGGGGAGGCTGTACAGTACACACACATGCTGGCCTGGAATTGGGCTAAAAGACGCAGAGATGAGTGCTCGCCATTGATCCGTCAGTCATGCCGAATCATTGTGTTTATTCTGCATCTTCTGTTGCCGAGGGCAAGCCAACCAAGCCGCCCCCCCCCCCCGCACATTCCCGTCCATCTCGTCGCCACCGATTTCCACAGGAACGTTTCATAATCCACAAACGACGATTCGTAACAACCCCTTATATAGCCGCACAATGGAGCAAGTGTTTTGTTGTTGTTGTTGTAAACGGAGCACTCGTATCGGTATTCACTCGTGTTGTATCTCACTAATAAAAAAATACACACTGCATCAACATCCGTTGTTTTACTACTGTACAGTACTTCTATGCTCCCGGGTCTAGGTTTCCCGAACTTCAACCCGAACTGTGACCACCAAGGCCAGCCTCGGTGAAAAGCACGGTTACAATAATACCCCGCAGCAGAAGTGCCCGTACAAATAAAAAAAAACACAACAATAATATACACGTACGCACATACCTACTTAATGTTGGGGTTTAACAAGGGCAGTGTTTTTGTAGGATTTTTTTTTTTAAATGCGTATTCCATCATGGTCCCCCCCCCCCCCCCAAAAAAAAACCTAAGTCTGTAAAAAATATATATGCCAGCGGTTAGCTAGCAAGTCCACAAGTCCTTATTCAAAACATGTGCCTTTCCAGGCAATTCTGGCAAGGGATGGGTTATTTATATTCTGCAGGCCAAGCATGCGTTCGTACCAGAACATTGTGTTCTTGTTACTTGGCAGTTGAGTAATGTGCTGGCCGGCTGCCAGGAGGGGGGGGAGGGTGTGTGGGGTGACTTGGATGAAAGGAGGGGAGAGAGAGGGAGGGGACGTGGAGTGCTGCTGCTGCTGGGGTTGGGTCGATGTGTGGGGTAGAGGCGGGGATGGAGGCCCCCCCCCTCACCCCCTCCGTCCTCCCCACCCTGCTGCCTGTACATTGCGCTCACGTTGCGTTTAGCTGAGCCCGAGACACACGAGAGAGGCGAGCGATGAGTTGCGTAACCGTAACCTTGGAACGTGGTGTGTGTGTGTAGGCGCCCTCCAGTGGCCGCTGTCGTGCCTAGCGAATGTGTGCTTGCTTGCTTCGTCAGCCTCGGCGGCGAGACAACAAAAAAAGGGGGTTGCCATTGATCTTTGGAAAGAGAGAGAGAGAAAAAAAAATACCCCAAACGTTTGCACATTACATAACGCACAGCGTGTGACTGCTGCGCTTTCGAGCCCGTGCAGAATTTTAAAGAGACATGAACATTAGCCGTGCTTCAAGCACATCAGGACATCAGTGGGAGCGATTATGTTTGCGTTATAATGCCAGTTGCGCATGAACGGATGGGTGGACGTGTTCCTAACCTTCAAATTGAAGACCACGTGCAATTTATAGTGGCGATAGAGACAATGGAGCCGTATGAGATTAGCGAATATTTGAAAAACTATTTTTTTGCAAACAAGGTTGAGCCTGTAGGAAAATTAGACGTTTGCATCTTTTTTTTTGCATTCGGTGAATTCTTAGTGGCAGCAGGAGACAGCATGGGGGAGGGGTTGTACTCTCGACAATCGTTCCCGAGGTCGATTTGAAATAGCAGACTGCGGCAGTGGGGTACTGTTACCGTGCCAGAGAGTTGGGCATGCAAAACATTAACGATTGCACCGAAATTTACGGAAGTTCTGCAATACTGCTAATTGGGTTATGAAAGAGACGAAAACAATTCTCACAGAGCGCAGCTTCAGAGACCAAAATAATAGGCTAATGAAATAAGCCGGGGCTATATTAATATAAATACTGTACCCCCTAGCAAAAGTACGTGGAGTGATTTATTTTAATTATAAGCCAATGAAAATAAGCGATTAGCAATTGGAACATCTAGTACTGTACTCAAAGGAAGCGGCATCGCGTGCGATTATTTTGAGTGTCGGCCAAAAATAGCCTCGATAAGGAGGTTTCATGGGAGACGCGCGGGGCCGGGTGGCGTGTTCCCACATTGCCCGATCGAAAAGCCACTGGGGGACACGGGTCAAGGGATAGGTGACGCGGACACGAGAGACGCACATTTGCCAGGAGATGAGTTTTGAATTGAACGCCGCTGCGGATTTAAAAAAATAAAGCCCGGTGACACGGAGCTCTGTGACACACGCATTAACATCGCGGGGTTTGAGGGTGGGATTTGAGATGTGGGAGGCCGAAACGGCGCTCGCGTTTTGCTCCGGGTGGTGTCCTTTGCATTGTTTAGAACGCTGAGACGGGTTACGCAACGCTTTGCTTGGTAGGAATGGGGAGGAGGCGGGCGGAGGAGGAGGGGGGGTGTGTGAGCCGCACTGGAATCGTAGCCAAGGGCGGAATATAGAAAGCCTGTAGTTTTGTTATGTAACAGGCGAGGAGGCAGCGTGGAAGCGAGCAAGCCTTGTTCAAACATTGAAACAGAAAACAAGGCCATGAAATTCACAACGCTTAGGTAAAGCACCGGCGGTCACCTCGCGGTGCCGCGGAAGCTTCATTTGATTTAAAATGAGCACAGCCCCAGACACACGCACCCAGAGCGCTTGCGCGGCGTGCCGTGAGGCCGCATCTCGAGCTCATTATTTGACGTCCAATTGCAAATTGCTGCCTGCAATAAATCGGTCGTCATATCAGCGGTGCACTTTTTTTTGACGTTCATCGTTTAGCCTCTGTAATTGTATTTACCCGAATGAACGCATTTCCCCCCCCGCCACATTGCAAATAAGCACTTCCCTTCCTCGTATGCAAACCGGTATTAACCTCAAATTATGTAATCCGATGAAATGCCTACAATCGACAACGACAAAAAACCATGAGACTGTCATCGTACCGATTTATGCTGCAGTATTTTTAACCTCTAATAAAAAAAAAACATGTTTAGGATTCCACACGTGAAGACCTTTCATCCCCTCTGCATTGTGAGAGAGCGCGGGGAGGAGCTGCGAGGGATGGGATGGGTATGGATTGGGGGTGGGATTCTGTGTAGGGGGATGTGAAATCATTCCATTCAGAGCGTGCAGGGAGCCGCTGCTGCTGCTGCTGCAACCTAATTGGCTGCTGTAACCAGTTCTGGAGCGGCCCTGTGATTGGAGGGATGAGGATGCCTGTGGCTCACGTTGAGGGCCAGCTGATGATGCTCTCTCGCTAGCTTTCCCCTCCCTCCCTCTACATCCCTCTCTCGCTCTCTCGTGTTTGTGCTTCAAGCGTGCGCGGCTCAAACACGAGCAGGTCCACGTGAGGCCCTCACGTAACGCGTAGCTGCAGCGATGCCAGTAATAGCAAAGTGGGTCATCCCGTGTCAGCCGCGTTCAGGTACACGTGTGGAGACGCAGGGGACGCATGGGAGGAGGGATGGGGGGGGGTTTGGTGGGGGCGGCGGATGGAAGAGAAGAAGGGTGGGAGCGGTGGGGGAGTTGGCGGGGTGGTGGGGCAATGTTTTTCGCTCCAAAGACAGATGGTTTGACACTTGGCGTTGACTCGGTAACATGACTGACTGTAAAGCTGCCGGTGCAATTTACATGCTCCAGTTTCACAGAGCCCGACATTTATTTTTGTTGTGCGTGGCTATCACAACACACGCGATATGCCGCCGCCTGAAACACAATGTTCCGGTTGTTAAATTAGAAATACATTTAGGATGTGTTCCACTTTGAAGAAAGAGACAAATCTAAACGCATGCTAAACCAAACCAACGCCCTATTGTCACCATTAACACGGCGCTTGCTATTTGGTGTTTAGAAACGGACAACGTTGTTTTTTACTCTCCAAATATGATGTTAATGATCCAATTAAAATCACATTTCACCTCGTTATTAGCACTCAATTGTTGCTGGTGCCATTATAGGCGATAATTACGTCACCTTGCGATTAAGCACGCGTGCCATGGTAACAGATTCAATGGCCGATTGTGATATCCACACGACATTTCGAGATCATTTAAATAATAAGAAAACATCTTGGCAGTAAAATTGCGACTGGGACTGTCCGGTGGCTCGGTCACACGCAGTCGCCCAGAGGGCACATAGACGTCACATTCACCTCCGCTTCCTCTAGCAACACGGTGCACTTTCGTGTATTCGGTGAATTAAAATGTACAACTCCTCCGCCGTTTTTTAAATAGCACAGAACAATCTAATGCCCGAGGTAATCCGAGGGAGAAAGGAGGAGGCGGTGGAGGATGGGGTGGGTGGGTGGGTTGGGTAGTGGAGGGGGGCAGTGTGGAGGGAGGGGGGGCCAGTCGCTTCTTCCACTGGGCATCCGAATCCTCTCCCTCGCTCGCTGCCTGCCAGGTCTGCCTTTCTGGCCACCCTGTTCCACGTTCCGCTGACCCTTGCCTGCCCTTGGCCCCAGTGCCCCTTAAACCCTCTCGTTCCACCCCCCCTCGTCCCTCTGTTTTTCCACAAAGGGCACTGGGGCAGTGCTGTAACCCGACTCTATCTTGTTGGGACAGTGAAACCAGGGACGTTATTTTGCCGCTGCCTATTGCAGGGCGCAAAGCGGAGGTGCCGCCGTCCGCGGATACATAACACCGCAATTTGTACAAAAAAAAAGAATGTCAAGAGTACATAGTGTACTCTGCGTTGTTTGCCAAGTCTTGAAATGGAAAGAGCACTGAACCCTTGCCAAGGCTGTACTTGCTTGTTTGCTGCTGGCAGATCCCACCGTGCGGATCCACGTGACCGATGTTTTGCAGTCCGTGGGCTTTTTCTCCCTCCCTCCTCCTCTTTCTGTGTCAGTGGTGGGTGGGGGATTTGTGCCACAAGCGGTGGTGGTGGTGGGGGGGTGTTCTCGGTGTTACTAGCGTGCAAGTGTGCGTGTTGTGTGCGCGCACGCGCGAACGCGGGGCAGGATAGGGGAGGTGCTGCTACCCGTTTGCCGGCATAATCGCGCTATTGTATGCGGCCCGCTTAATTGGCGTGGGATGATGCATAGAGCCAAGGGTGTGGATGTGTGGTAATGTTGAAGTAAAAGAGTCATGGTAATTAGCTTAAAAAGGGGTTACTTAATGTTAGGTCAATTGCAGTACAGTATTAGGAAGCCAAGCTCACTTGAGAATGATGATTTTTCTTTTTTAAACGATTAATTTCAGTGGCCACTTTATTGGCGTGCACTTAAAAAGAGAACGTCATACTGTGGCTGTAGTTGAAATCACGTGGCTTCAATGTTGGCCACGTGATCATTTTATCTCGTACCCTTCTATTTAGTATGGTGTATTTATTTCCCTCCCCATACCACAGCCCTTGCCTTTAGAAGAAGAAGAAGATACTTGTTGTGTCCACCGGATGTTGTTGTCCTATTTGTAAACAGAAGGGGGAATCGGTCAGGGAATATTTTCTGTCCTAAACATTTGAGGTATTTATAAAAAAAATTGTTTTACTTTTCTTTTTAGCATTTGCTTGCTTTCATTATTTGATGCAGCTTTGGAATTAAATGCGGCTTTAGCTGCGCTGATCTATAGTAACTAATTGGCACTTTTGTTTTACTTGACAAACCTGGTGTCGGGTTTAACGACACATTTATATTCACGCTATCCAACCCTCAAAAAAACTTTATATTGGTATTTCGATTTTTATTTTTTAAACGTAGGATTCAGCACGAACAAAACACTGCTCGATCCATCGGCCTTTAGGGCAGGCCTCGCGAAGCAGTCTGCAGGACGAGTGGCGTGAACAGACCGCATCCTCCCGCCTCGTGAGCGCTCGTCTCCGAGCTGTGCCCCGCCTGCAGGCCGCTCTGAGAGGCCGTCGCGTCGTTGGCGACGAAACAAACGCAACGGGAGCAGCGACGGTTCAATATTGTCGCTCGTTATCCTGGCCCCTGCCATGGGGGTGTGCAACTTTCACCTTTGGCTGCCGAAGGAGCCGGGATTCGCCCAAACGCTCATTTGAACGCGGAGCTCCTTTCAAATTCACTGAAACGTTCAGTAAAAGTTTACCCCCTCCCCCCCAAAAAAAGGTAATTTTTTTTTTACTTTCCAGCGCATCTCGTAGCTGGCAGGCGTACGGCACTGGGCACGGCCGCCAGCAGCGCGCTGTCCTTTCCTGTGCACCGCTCTGCGAGTTGGGAACACGCGCACACACGCACGATGTTCCAACCTAACGTGCTTCTGCGCCCACGCGCGTGTTTCTGCAGGAGCAGGAGGAGGAGGAGGGGGAGGGGTCATCTCGTACGCGGGCTCCATGGGCTCCAGCCCCAGCCCCATGTCGTGCCACAGCGACAGCAGCGAGAGCGGCTTCGGCTCCGGCTCCCAGTCGCCGCTCTCGTCCTCCCTTCTCCGCGTCCCCTCCGCCCGTCAGCGGAATCCCTCCGGGATTCCGCCCCGGGATCGCCGGGCCGCGGCGACGCGGAGGGGTCGTGTGGCGCCGTTCGCGGCTCGATCTACGCGACCTCGCTGCCCGCGAGACAGGACACGGTGCTGCAGGACCACCTGTACTGCCCGCCGGCCGGCGCGTCGCCCGGCTCCATCGGCATCAGCCTCGGCGGCGGCGGCGGCGGCGCCGTCGTCACGCACTCGCCTACCTCGTCGTTGGTGCTAGGCCCCGCGCACCGCGGCGCCCGGGGCAGCGCCGGCGCCGGCAAGCTCAAGTCCGGCTCCATCGGGAGCATTGCCAGTAAGCGACAACGCGCGCGGTCCAGCCTTTCTCGCGCTCGTGCTCTCGACGGCAGCGGATCTGTGCCGTGCTGCACGATGCGTGGGAGGGGACGGGGGTGGGGGTGGGGGGGAGGAAGTGCGATGTAATGGGAAATGAGCGGTTAATAGAGAATAATTGTTAAGCCCATGATTGTCGAGAAATTGCAGTTGCTCGAGGGTGCACCCGATTGCGTTGAAGCGTTGTAATGTTGTAAAGTTGGTGAACGCCACGCGGTGGCGAGACGTTAACTACCTCGCCCTGTATATAGAAAGGTCGTGGGTTGGATTCCGACCCTGATGCCTTTAAATTTGGAGTTTGCACGTCTATTTGGCTGCTATCAATTTTCCAGGTGTGAATCCACTTCGTTGAGCTGTCATTTGTGGCCCGGTCGTTTCTGAACAAGCGGGCCTTACCTGGCAAAATAACAAAAAAATTCTCATTTTTTTTAGTCGCGCACATTTCGGTTCGGATTTAGTCGCGGCATTGATGCTTCCGAACAACAGTCGTGCGCCGCTAACCCCCCGTGCAACTTTTGTTCCGCAGCAATCAACGGCGTTGTGCTGCTATGCAAAGTGTGCGGAGACGCCGCGTCCGGGTTCCACTACGGCGTACACGCCTGCGAGGGCTGCAAGGTAACAGCGTCCTCCTCCTCCTCCCTTCTCCTGCCTCCTCCCGGCGATCGATTCGTTCAAATCGCCCGCGGGGCTCTCGGGACGGAATCTCTGGTCAAAACTGAGGCCTTGGCCCACCGGCGCTTTTTTCTGTCACACCACTCCCTACCTCTCTCCCTAGTTCCTCGAGCACAACCGCTGGTGACCTGGCCACACAGCAGTTACTCATTTTTTTATGATTGGCCGGGGCGATGATTGGCTGGGTCAACCCCCGCCACCTCCCCCCCCCGTTAGCAATTTGTGTTCGCACCCACTGGCCTTGTGGGAGATGCCGCAGAGCGCCAGGTGTGTGTGTGTGTGAAGGGTGGCTTGCCTGCAATCTGACGCTCCGTCTTGCGATTCACGTTGAAGCCACGTGCGCGCGAGACGCCCGCCACCTGCTGGTCGCGAGCAGGTGGCGGTGTGGCGAGTCGGTTGATACATTTTTAATTTTTGTGGGGTTTTCTCCAGTTGATCTATTTTCCTCCCACATGTAAACAAACATGCATATCACAATGGGAATCTTTATTTATACCGGAACAATCCGATGAGCTATGAAGCTCTTTTTCACAGATGTCCAGGAGGGGCGGGGTCAGAAAACTTTCGGCTCGATGATGAATCGACCAAACATCCCAATCACAGGAAAATACTGAACCAGTCTCGAAATGAATCGATGCTTTGCACAACAATTACATTTCCATTGTCACTTTATATGAATGTTGGTGTATTAAAATAACCCGTCGCGCGATTGTCGCGCAGGGCTAACGTCGCGGCGTGTGCATTCGTTTTTCTTCCTTCCTTCCGCGTAGGGCTTCTTCCGGCGCAGCATCCAGCAAAACATCAAGTACAAGCCGTGCCTCAAGAACGAGACCTGCCCCATCGTGCGGGCAAATCGCAACCGCTGCCAGCACTGCCGCTTCAAGAAGTGCCTGTCCGTCGGCATGTCCAAAGACGGTGGGTGATTTCACAGCCCCGGGCGTCGATCTGGCGTCCGGCACTTTCGGGTGCGCCCGAGTATCGGCCTGTGACGACGATAATTTAAAGCGGCGATACGGGAGAGTCCGTTGAGATGAACGCCGCCTTTTCCGAAAAGCGCCGTGCTCACCCGAAGAGATGAATGGCGGTCAAGTGTGAAATCACCCCCCACCCCGCCCGCATAAAAAAAAAATCGAGTCGTCATGAAGAGCCCCGTATCTTTTTAATGCATTGCAATTTTATTAAGCCTGCACCAGACGAACCGCTTTCTTTTCGTAAATATGCCTTTTTAAAGTGCGGCATTGTGCGAGCAGAAAAATAATACAACATTCAATGTGAAATTATTTAGCCTCGTTGTTTCGTATTCCCGCGTTACCGTTCCTCCTTGAAGGGGTCCCGTAGACAGACACCTTCAGTTGACGGGTTTCACTCGAACCGGATTGCGAAATCTCAAACGGTCCCTCGCTGGTTGTCTCTCCCCCCCCCCCCCCCCACCACCACCACAGCCGTGCGATTCGGACGCATCCCAAAGCGCGAGAAGCTGCGCCTGATGGAAGAAGTCCAGAACGCCCTCAACTCCGCCTCCTCGTCCGTCATGGTCAGCCAGGTGATAGCTCGGCCAGCGGACGGCGGCCAGCAGCAGCAACAGCAGCAGCAGCAGCAGCTGCTGACGGTCGACAACATGGAGTGGAGCAGCGTGGGGCAGGCGGAGGCGGAGGCCAGCAGGGCGCGCAAGCTGCCCGAGTCGATGCAGGCGAGCCCGGACGGCGGGCGGCCCCGCATCCAGCCCGGGAGCCCCCTCAAGATTAAAGAGGAAGAAGCGGCTCAGAGGGTCGGCGCCGCACACTCCGACATCTTCCAGCAGCGCCGCCCCGAGGTTCCTTTGGAGCAATCGAACGGCGGCGGAGGCATCGGCGGCGACCCCAAGCGGGTTCAGAACTTTGCTTCGGCCCCGGGCGGGAGCCTGCCGGCAGACGCCATGCAAGGCCCCGCTTTCGCCGGGCTCTCGGACGGCGCGGCCACGCACGCCGTCTTGGGCGCGAGGCAGGAGGCCGAGATGGCACGCGCCGCGTGGAGCGCGCGGGACAACAACAACGGCGGCCAGTGCTACGGCCTGCCGGACGGTGGCCGGGGAGAGAGGGCCGCCGCGCAAGCCGGCCTCTTCCGCCAGCGGTGCGACTCACCGGCGGGCGTCAACGTCAACCGCGCCGGCTTCGTCGACGGCGGGCACGAGAGGGCGCGCTACGCGAGCGTGTGCTCTGCGGGCGCCCACGGCGGCGCGTACTCGGGCGAGGACAACGCCGGGCGCTTCCACGCGGCGCAGCCTCGGGCGATCTCCGGCCAGCACGGCCAGTACGGCCGGCACGACTACGGCTACGGCCAAGTCTCGGCCTGCCCCATGGGCCAGGGGCACGTGCAGGCGCCGCAGATGTCCGGCGGCATGCGGCATTGGCCCGAGGAGCGAGAGGAGACGACGTCGTCCTCGGGAGCGCAAAGCTGCCCCTGGAGTGGACCGCAGAGCAGAAAGCTGGTACGTGAGATCGCTCGCGGCGCGCGACCCCGTGCGTGTATGTGGTATGTATGTTGCGTGCATGTACGGTGAACTTCTTTCGCACCGTAGGTAGCCAACCGCGCTAATGGCAGGTGTGGGCGGAAGAACAACAAACTGAACACAAAAAGCAGTTTTAAAGAAATTAGTTTTCAATTTAGTATCGTGGTGTTGTAGTGTATAGTAGCGCATCGTGTAGTATGTACGTTGAACTTCTTTTGCACCCTACCTAGCCAACCGCGCTAATCAGCGGTGCGGGGTGGACAACAAACTAAACACAAACAGCAGTTTTAAAGAAATGAGTTTCCATACATTTTGGGTCTTGCCGTAAAGTCACGTAGATAGAAAAATAATTAGAAATCTATCACAACGCAAGCAATCGTCTTGAGGTGAACACATATAGCAGGCGGACTGCTGAGGCAGGAAGAAATGTTTGTTTTAAAAGAGTGTGAATTCCTGCAGTCACGAAAGCTTGAAGTCAAAATGGAGTTTCCAGTGTAACATTGCAACAGCTCCCAGTGGCTTTCTAACATGGGAAGAATGACGACAACGGAGGTGGCCTCGCGAGGTTATCGGGCGCCGCGAAATGCCGTCTCCGCCCCGCCTGACGCCCCGCCTGACGCGCGTTCTTTCCATCGCCAGGCGTGCCCCCTGAACAGCGGCCCGTTTGGCCGTCCCAACGCCACCGGGGGAGAGGTGTGGGAGGACTTTTCTCGTTGCTTCACGCCGGCCGTCAAAGAGGTGGTGGAGTTCGCTCGGAGCATCCCCGGCTTCCTGAGCCTCTCGCAGCAGGACCAGGTCGCCCTGCTCAAGGCCGGCACCTTCGAGGTGAGCAAAAACAAAAACGATGTCGGGGGGGGGGGGGGGGGGGGCACGTGCGGCAGAACTGTGTGCCCCCGGTTCGGGTGGTGGGACATCGGCTTAGCTTGTCAATTCTCCTCGTGCTCAATAAAACGAGCATACCGCTTGTTTCGGGAAATCAGCAATGGGTTGCCCTATGGAGAGGCATGGCTCCCTCTGGCCATAGTCATGTGGAATTTCCAGCAACTGACTTGTGGCCGGCGACGGAAATGAGCGGCCATCTTTTGACCCCTTAACCTCCCTCTCCCAGTTGCAATAAAGTCCGCGTATCGTCTCTGTGTAAGCTTAAGGCGGGGGTGGGTCGGGCTATGGCCACCGTTTGTTCGACACACTGTGCTCATCGCCTGTCCCCTACCGCCCTCTCCGCAGGTGCTCGTGGTGCGCTTCTCCTCGCTGTTCGACGCGCGCGACAGGACCGTGCAGTTTGCGGGCGGGCGCGTCTATCGCCTGGAGGAGCTGCGAGCCCTCGGCATGGGCGAGCTCCTGCACGCCATGTTCGACTTTGCCGAGAAGCTGGTCTCCCTGCGGCTCACCACCGAGGAGATGGGCCTCTTCAGTGCAGTCGTGCTCGTCTCCGCCGGTACGTCTCTCTCTGCATCTTTCACTTTATTTTCGACGTGGTAACGCCGCCCCGGTTTAACCCTTCGTCGCCCATCGTCATCGTCACCGGGGTTTAATATTAATCATCGTCGTTAGCGCCCGGTTTAACCTGTACCCGCTGCGAATCTGTGAATGTCGTGGGTCACGATGGTTTTCCAATCGCTCGGTTTTACCCGCCCCACAGCTGACTTTGATAGCTAAGAAGCTTTTATCAATATTCCCTGCGCCTTTGTAACCCAGATTAACTGGAGATGACGCATCATGGGACCATCAGTTCCATTATCAGATGTAGATCCACCCAGTCGACAAGGTTTCGCAAAAAACTGTTAAGAAAGTCGACCTGTAACAAACATACCTTTCCATTAATTACAAAACTCCACAATTTGAATCGACGTTTGTGATGCGACACCCCCCCACAGCCTCTTATAATGTTGCCACGAAACTTTGCCCCCCGCTCACCAAAATTCACCGCGTGCGTTTGTTTTCCTCTCTCCCGTTTGCGACCACAGATCGCTCCGGCATCGAGGATGTGGGGATGGTCGAGCGCCTACAGGAGGCCCTCATCTCAGACCTGAGGGACCTGGTCTCCAGGAACCACCAGGACTGGCGCGACGCTCTACACCAGGCTCCTCTTGCGGCTGCCCGACCTGCGCACACTCAACAACCTCCACTCGGAGAAGCTGCTCGCCTTCCGCATAGACGCGTGAGAGCGAGCGCTTTCGACGGCGGGCCGGTGCGCAGAAAGATTAACAGAGTGCGTGAAGGCGACTTTATTTATTGGACGTTTTCGCCGCTGTTCAGTCGTCAGTACGATGAGCACTTTACTAAAACGAAACGACAACAACAAAAACACTTGAATAGCATCCGTAGACTGCCCTAAAAGACTTGAGGATAGCGACGACAAGCCTTGTAGAATGGCTGCTAAATGTAAAGTAAGATCCAAACGTACGTGCAATTTGCTTCCAATAATAGCGCGTGCGTTTTCTTTTTTCGTAAACAAATCGACGAAGGCTAAAGAGGAGGAGGAGGGTATCACGACAAATAAAGCTTCCTGTGTACATTCGTTTTGCTCCGCTCGCAAAAGCGCGCGAGCGAGCGCTGGTTGCGGCGCGCGGACACTCGGCCACCTCGCAGCCAAGGGCTTCGTGGCGACGGACACAGCTGCACTTGCGACCATGTGTAAATTATGTAGCGTCTGTTTGTTTACGTAGCGTTTGACGAATTGGCAAGTTTTTTTTTCAGTTCGTTTGTTCCTCCCTCTCTTTTTTTCCGCATCGCGATAATCACTGACTGGCGTCGCCGTAAACCTGAGTAATTGTGCTCTCTCGTGGCGTTCACGATTCATGACCGGAGCACGCTTTGTGCGTATCCTTTGTGCTTCCTACTCCGAGAAAACTGGTCCAACAAAAGTTTTGCTGTACCAGTGATCAAAAAATGTTTCCGGCCACGTCGATAACGGTAATGACATCCTCCTCGTGTGTGTGTGTGTGTATATAATGTACAAATATCCCCGCGTTCTTGTGTAATAGGAAGGCAAACGACACGCACGCTTTGTTTAATCGCAAGCAAGCCGGCTGCAAAGTGGCGGCCGTGAAAAAGAATGTTCGTCAACGCCTTTGTAAAAAATTGTAAATCCGTCTTTGGTTTCTCTGCGTTCAGCCTGCCTTGACGCTCAACCGTCAGTGAGAGAGTGAACTGGGAAAAACAGACACCCGATTTGAAGGCACTGCAAATGCTGTCACGCGTAGATGTTTATCTTGTTGTGGGTTTGTCGATAATTTAAATCGCATCAGACGTACGGACTCGGCGCACGGACGCGGGCTGTGGTAACTTCTGCGGGATGCATTGACCGCTAACAAGGAAAGCTTCAGGCACTTAGGGTGGCATTGTATAGTGAATGTGAAGGGTGCTTCTGCAAAGCAGTGCAAAAGTGCGATCATTTCCAGTTTTTCACTTGGTCCCCCTTTTGTGGGGGAGTTTTTATTTTCTTTGTAACTTAAGAAGCGTTGCACGTGTGCGAGCGAGCGAGCGTGCGTGCTTTCTCGAGTGTTTATACGAGTTATGGCATTGACGTTTCATGAACCCCATTGTATTTGTGTCAACTTTTCAACCGTAGTTTTATTCGTTATTATTAGCTGCTAGAACTTATTTAAAACGAGCATTAAATTAACACGAATATTTTTTTGTCGTTGCGAGAATTATTTAGATTTTTTTTTATCGTAAACATTGCCATATTTAATATTTCTTTTGTCGTGTCATGTAAATGCATTCAATAATCGCCTGTCCCTACATTTACACAAAGTGTCCCTACATTTGCACCAGTGAGACAGAATCAACGCGGCACTTAATGCAAAGGAACACGATAGCCACCACCACCGCCACCACCAAAACCAATGGACAGGCCAATGAGATATATTCAACGATGTTTTTCAATCTTTGCAGCTAGCTATGAGGGCCCTTTAACTGGTGCTAACTCACGCCCCAAGCGGCAAGCGCCCTCGTCTGGAGACCAGCTTGCAATTGCACGGCTTTTTTGTCTAAATATCTTTTGTAACATGGGTTTGGTCCATTTCTAGAGACATTGTAAGAGGATAATATTTATTTCCAAAGCTTTTGTGCACGTCTTCCCCTCATCCCAATGCAACTCATGAACTCAAAACACTCTTTGCGTCTCTCAGTGCACACCTCTGTAAGACGCACGGAGCCATCGCAAATATTCCGTCATTATAAATCAATGGGGCATCTGTCAAAATGGATCATCCTGTATAATACCAATTCTTGTTTTGTGCGGTTCAATGTATTATTGCTGCGCTTTAGTCTCACGGCGGACTACGTGATGATTCGCCATCACACAACACTGATGTCAATAATCCACGGCGGGTGGGGGCGTCATGAATGGGGCTCACTCGCCCCAAATACGTGTCTGTACATAATGCGGAGGTGTAATTCTGCGGTTTGTGTAATTAAATAAATTAGGCTTTGCACGTTCTCCGAAAAAAATACTTTACATTATCACTTAAATATATGCTCTTTCTCATGGTGCAATCTGATTTTTTCAAATACGTATGTAATCCGTATGTTCTGTGTGTGTGTGTGCTTCACATGCAACATATCTGTGTATGATATCGGTATATATGGATTATTGGTTTGTGGGAAGAAAACAAAGCTGTGGGGTGGGGGGGGGGGGGAGGTCGCAATCAACGGAAACAGAACAAGAGGGAGCGTATTAAATACAAGAATAGAATGTATTCCGCAATTGTGACTGGTTCCGTGCCTACGCGAAATGAATGTTTCAGAAAGACGTATGATATATAGGCAGAGAGAGATATATTGTAAACGAGAGAGCACTTGTTTGGTAGTAGAAGAAGACGAAAAACAAAACCGATTACAAAAACTCACAAATGGATCTTACATTGATTCGACGAGTGTATGCAAGGAATATTTGTAAACGAGCTGCGGCGGTGTGTACGTTTTTATTGACGGCTGTCAGTCACTTCCACCTGCCAGCGCTGATTGGGCATTGTCCACGTTTTCCTTTGATTGAGGAAAATAATTGAATGTGTTGTGGGGGGGGGGGGGGCGAGGGGGCGTGGAGGGAGAGGGGTCGGAGGTGATGTTGCTGTTAAGCTGCTTGGATACTGTAACATACATTTTGCCAGTATGTGTCCGCATGCTCGGAATTACCATTTGCATTGTCCCGTCTTCATCCTTGTGTCTACCACAACTGTTCCTGGTTATGCATTCCCTGCCCAATAAACGTGCCGTTGTTAAAACTACCTTGGCTCGCTCGTGTCACATTTTTACACGCTTTCTTTCAACTCACTCTGTCTGTTGTTGCTGTTGTTGTACCCTCAAATCATGTAACTCAATTTTAACCCACTTCCCAATGTGGTATCGACTGCAAACTTGTTATACTTATGTCATACTGATGACAATACTATATTCTATCATAAAAATATTAAAAAGAACGTTTAATTTTATGTTTTTTTATATGTTATGTTTCGGCTTGGGTCTAATTGTCCATGGTCAACTGACGTTGGCTGTAATTGGCCACGGTCCCTTACGATATGGCAAGCTTCGGGGCCACTTCCTGGAGTCGTGGAGTTCTGCCCTTGGCCACGACCACCTTCCAGAATCCTCGGGAAGGATCTGGGTCCCAACCACGTGACCACCCCTAGCCCTCACTTGGGGCTCCTTTGTAGACTTAACTGGTCACGTGTCAACCAGAGTGCAATGGCCTTTAGTAACCTCATCCCTCAGCCGGCACCCACACACCCTGTCCTGTAGGGCTGGCACTGCACGCCAAGCGTGGTGCCATCCAGCGCCAGCAACCAGCGCTCACAGGGCCCCTCTAGGGCCGGTACTACACCCACACCACTGTGGTATCTGCGATGTCACTACACATAGAATCGAGTCAGTAGGATCTGCACACGTGCAGGGGAGGCGTAAAACGCTGAGAAGCCCTCCGTGGGAGCTGTGTCCGGCCCGGCGTTCCACTTGCCTTGCCTGGCTCGTTCGACATGTGTGGCTTCGTGTTTGCGGCGTCTGGTTGAACAACTTTGCGTTTGCAATCCTAATGCTGCTGTATGGCCAATCTGACTGCTGAGCGAGTTTGAAAACGCGATCTGTCCAGCTATTTGACCACACTTCAACCTGTGCTGGTCGGTGTGGGATTGGGGGAGTGGAATACTGTCGTATAAACACGGACTTTCTGTAAAATATTGCATTCCCATCCACGGTCCACAACGTAGCCTATAGCACCTATTACTCGGGGCGTTCGCCGTGTCCTTTCCCCGCACCTCCGATTAGCACGGTCGGCTACGTACGGTGCGAAAGAAGTTCAACATACGAGCATTTATTTAAGCCAAACCCTTGCTTGGCTTTCGAGATTTGACGAGATTGGGCGAATTCCGGGAGATTTGATCGTGAGCAAAGGTTTATCGCCTTCGCTCACACGGCTTTCTTAATTACATTAATTTAACATATTATGACATTTTCATTCAAAAACCGGTGTATATTCCACGCTGTTATGCTAATTGCTTCACGTGTGTCCGTTAACCATCGCCATACACACACAGGTATAAGCAAATGCTGCAGCGATTGTTACAGCGCACACGTTTTCGCAATAATGGCATAACCTGTCAACCCCTTATCAATTCAGACTACCATACACTATACACTACACTATACACTACGAATAATATTGGTCGCGAAAGCCTACGTGTTAATCTAAATATACACTACACTACGATACACTACACTACTACATACCTGTCAACCACTTATAACAGACCAATTCAGACCGTATTGGTCACCCCGCGCCCTTATCAATTTCAACGTTCATCCAAAAAGCCCGTATTGAAACGACTGTACGCGGTATGGACCTGAAAAACTCAGTTTCCCTGCACAAGAACACGGGGTAAACCGTATTGGTTGACAGGTGTGGAATGTTGTCATTCTATATTTTATTTGTATTATGAATGTAGTCGATGTTTTTTTGTTTTTGTTTAAAGCCACTGTCCTTGGTCAAAGGCTTCTGAGCTGAGTTGCCACTGTGCGATAGGATGCAGTTGCACTTAGACTAGGGCTCGTTCACCAAAATAATAAGAATCCGTAAAAAAAAAACCCACCACTCAATATTTCAAGGGCCGCAATGCATTGTGGGGTGAACACAATGCGGTAGGGACCTTGATGAGTAACGGTCACGAAGCAGCACTTAAAGAGTCGCATACGGCTCCGTAGCAGTGCCGGATTGTCCTAGTAACATTCTATGGGAACCGCACTTTCAAGGGCCCCGCGCTAAATGCTTTCAAGCTATCAATTCCGGTTCAGTGATTATGTACTTGCTCT